TTTTTTATAAATACTATATCATACTATAAATAATTACTCCTTCTGAATTTATTAAATTATGTTTTCTATTGTTTTATATAATTATTACATTGGATTACCTTGTCTAGAATGGGCATGTGCGACATGACGTAAACTATCAACACTTGGTGGTTGAGGTGCAAAATATGTCTCTTCTATACGTGGAGGCTGACAAAATACTGTTTGTTCGATTTGCACTTGTCTTTGTACTTCTAACGTCATTGGTTGGATTTGTGCATACGTTTCGCTACCACTGGTATATACTTTATCCTGTTCATCAATTGCAGCATACATTTCATCTATAGAATGTATTTTTATGGAATAAGATTTTTATATATTTTTACATTTATTATATCACAGTTCTGAAGTTTATTTACCAGAATCATCAGAAACAGTAGCATAATGAGAATCAGTAATTGGTCGAGCAGATTGATTTTGTTTATAGGCTGCTTTAGTTTGTGCAATTATATTAGCTAATGGTTCCCTTACACTTATACTTGTATATCCTTCTATATTTAAAAAACAATAATACAAATTGTTAGAAAGTATTCGCATAACAAATAAAAATTACATAATAAAAAAAAAGAAAGATAATGAAATTACTTGAATCTTGAGAATCACCACTAAAATGCGGATTATTATGTTGGGAATGCGATGAATGTGGTACTAGCATTAAGAGAGGCGGTGTCATATAAGGTAAATCTTGATTAGCTTGAACACCTCCAGAGATAGCATTAGCGGCCTGAATGTCGTAATGCATCTCGGAATTGATAAGTGAATTGTGTGAAGAGGATCGTCGAGTTCTCGGTGGCGCAACTGGATTTTCATTTGACTGATCCATTGATATTGATGATTTTTCAATATTCGTGATTTGATTAGCGTTACTTCTACAAATTAAAAAATCAATATTATATATTCTTTCTGAAAGAAAAAAGATGATGAAAGATAGGCTGTTTTCCTTTTAGGTCGACATTGGATATTGTTCAAACGTTTGAATTTCGCGCCTAAAATTTATTGTGACACTAGAGCGTCGATATTCAAAAAGACACTTCAAAAAAAAAAAAATTGAGCGTGCACTAGAAATAAGTAGGAAGATCAAGCTATTATTATTAAGAAGAAGCCATTCTGTAACAAAAAAGGGCTGCAATAAACGAATTTCTTTTATACAAAAAATAACATCAAAGGCTATTTAATTTAGTTGGGATCGCACATACGCAAACAAGAATAGAAAAGGAGAGTGGCGTGCGTGGCAAAACTACAACGAAGGCGTTATTGGTCCGTACATAATTTTGGTTCTTCGAGCCGGATCAGGAATACCCAAATTTCAGGATAACCAGATCACAGGATATCTGAATTCGATGTGTGGCATACAAGCAATTCTAAAAAGGAGAAGCTTCTAGATCTTCACTGGGAGGATGAAGACTTACCATTTTATTCAACGACGATTATACAAACAAGCCAGTTGAAAAAAGCGAATCGCGTATACAGATATATGGATTGAATAGATACGATTGTAATAATAGTGTAAGAAACTTCCAGTTGCAGATAAGTCAATATAGTCAGGAAAGAGAAGGTAATTCAAGCGTAGTAGAGATTAGAATCAATCATAAGGCATTTTCAGAACTTAGACACGATGGCAGAAAAGTTAATTAAATTAAAAAAGCGCCGTGGCCTGATAAAGGCAACGCTAACGAAATTCAAGAGTTTCTTAGACAGTTATGTACTCGATCGCGATTACAGTATATTGAGAGTTCGGCTTGAAAAAGCAAATCCCTTATTATCAGAGTTTGAAAATGTGCATATGGCAATAGAGCTGGCTGAAGGTGCCAATGACGACGGGTCTAGACTAATTATTTGAGGATAATTATTACGAGCTAGAACACAAGAATATTTAGATTCAGGAAGAGACAGTGCAGCTTCGACCAGTAATGCAACAGTTAACGCAAATATTCAGGCGGTTTAACTCAGATATCAAATCTAACGTCAAACGATAGCATTGTCAAGTTGCCTACCATAACTTTGCCGAAATTTGACGGGAAATATGAGGAATGGTTGAGTTTTGAAGATTCATTTAAAGCCTTGGTTCACATAATAACGTAAAAATTCAAATAATATAGAAATTCAACTATTTAAAATCTTGCTTGGTGGGAAACGCAACTCAAATCATCCAGTTACTAAATTCAATCGCAGAAAATTATGAAATCGCGTGGAATTTATTAAAAGAGAGATACAGCAATAAACGCATTATTATTTAGAATCATATTCGATCATATTGTTTGAGCTGCAATTAATATACAAGGAGTCATCAGTGATCCTGAGTACATTGGTCAATATTGCATTTAAACATGTACATTCGTTACAAGCGTTAGGGCAATCAGTAGCTGGGATGCAGTGCTTCTGTATTTGATTGGTTCAAAGGTAAACAAAAAAACACAGATAGAGTGGGAAAAATTGTTAGATGGATCAGAAATGCCCACATTAGAACAATATTTGAAATTTTTGCGTAATCGGTTTCATGTTTTAGAAGCAGTTCCTAAGAAAATAACAAGCACATCAAGTTAAAAACACTCAATTGTTAATAAGATAACTTCAAGTAAAACAAAACAAATTTTATTTGAAACATACTCTAAAGTGTCATGTTTGTGGAAACAATCACAACAGAAATTGCGAAGAATTCAAGGCCATGAGTCAAGATGAGAAATCAGAATCTATAAAAAAGGCAGGTTTGTGCTTCAACTATTTCAGAACAAATCATAAGGTTGCAGCATGTAAAACAAGTAGTTGCAAAAAATGTGATCGTCATCATCACACATTGTTACATCCACTCAATTCAAGCGATATTCAGAAAACAAGCGTAGAAAATAATCAACAGGATAAACAGGACAGAGGTCCAGAGTCAAAAACAATCAGTCAGATTTTGAGTTCGAGATTGAATGATAATGCATACATATTGTTATCTACAATAGTAAGCATTGCTGATATGTCAGGCAATTTGCACTCATGTAGAGCAGTTTTAGATGCGAGATCTCAATCAAATTTCATTTCCGAGTCTTTGTGCCCGTGTCTTTGTGACAAGTTACGGCTACACAAGACAAATGTAAATGTTCCCATTAAGGGAATTAAAGAAAGACTGTTACATGTTAGATTTTCGACGAGTGTTGTCGTCAAATCCAGAGATAGTACATTCATGCTCGGACTGAACTGCTTATTATATCTAAATTAACAGATGTTTTACCTTCTAGGTCAATTAATCGTAAGGCTCTGGACGTATAAAAAAATATAAAATTATTAGCTCCTATGTTTGATCAATCGTCGCAGATTGATATGCTTATTGGAGCTGAGCATTTCTATTATGCGTAGGGCAGATTAAGTTAAGCTCGGGTTTAATTGTACTACAAAAAACAAAACTCGGTTGGATATTAGCTGGGAAAACTGATTCACTTGAACACACACCAGTTAGTTTATGCCATATCAGGCACTCTTGATGATGCAGTACAGAAATTCTAGGAAACAGAAGAATTAGCAGATAGGAAGATACCATTGCCAGAGGATGAAAAAACAGCATTACAAGGAGACAGTAAAGAGGACGGTATTCGGTACGATTACCATTTAATGATCAAAGGAAGAATTTGGGCGAGTCGTATGAAATAGCGTTAAGGCAATTACAAGCTTTGGAAAGAAGATTGAATACAAATTCTAAGTTGCGTGATGAGTATCATAATTGACTTCCTTTAGGAATATGAATTATTGGGACATATGACAGAAATTAAGGAAGCAATCACTCAGGAAGGACGTTTTCTTCCTCACCATTCAGTAGTAAAGGAGTCAAGTACTACAACAAGACTCAGAGTTTTTGATGCCTCAGCCAAAACAACAACTAGTGTTTCATTAAATGACACCATGTTTAGTGGTCCAGTGGTCCAGTGGTCCAGTGGTACAGCAGGATCTGTTCTCCATCGTTGTGAGATTTCATCTACATTACATAGTATTTATAGCAGACATTAAAAAATATACAGATAGGTTTTCGTTCAACCTGAAGATCGTCCCTTTCAGAGGATTTTGTGGAAAGGCAAAGGAAGCAGTTATTTATAAGCTCAACACAATAATGTATGGAACTTCATCAGTACTTGGTCACGCGTACCTTAATTCAATTAGCGGGAGATGAAGGGTAAAACTATGCAGATGCAGCGGAAATCGTCATTAGAGATATCTATATCAACGATCTTAACCGGAACCAAAACAAAACAAGCGATGACATTAAAGACTCAAATCACAAGATTGTTAAGAAGTAGAGGTTTCAACCTACGGAAATGGGCTTCCAATCATTCTTATCTCATCGAACCGCCATCAAATGAGTTCCAAGAGAAACATTGATGCTTCGATTTTTCTGAAACACACCAGACATTGGGAATTCTTTGGAATCCAGAACAAGATTGTTTCTTATATCGATTTGCAACGTGTCGCAACTCAGCTAAGGTAACGAAACGATCTATCCTATCACATCTAGCATCCTATTATGACCCTCTTGCTGGGTCCAGTTATTGTTAAGACTAAGATATTGCTCCAGAACATATGCAAATTACAACTAACTTGGGACGAAATAGTTCCAATGGAGATTCACACAGCTTGGAAAACTTCAGGATGCCTGAATTAAACAACATATCATTTCCTAGACACATTTGCATTGCTCAACTAGTTTGCAACTGCATAGATTCGCTGATGCTAGCGAGGTGGCATATGAAGCATGTATATACATGAGATCTACAAACGCATCCAATGCAAATCACGTTATTATCCAAATCCAGAGTAGAAAAGTACTCCACTTAAGAAAAGGCTTTCATTGTCAAGGCTGGAATTATGCGCAGCACTACTTTTGTCACAACTTTCTCAAACAGTATTGAAGGCTTTCGACATAACATTCAACAAGCTCATACTATAGTCAGATTCAACTATAGCGCTACAATGGATACACACATATCCTTATCGTTTAAAAACCTTCGTAGCAAATCGCATAGCCACCATCCAAAAAACTACAGCATCGTTTAGCTGGAGACATGTACCATCATCAGATAATCCTGCTGTCGAGAGGAGCATTTCCATCAGATCTTATTAATCGCATTATTTGGATTCACGGACTATCGTGGCTGTCAGAGGAAGAACATAACTAGCCAAATTCTATTACCATAATATCTGAGATTCCTGAACAACGAATAACCATTAACTTGAAGATAGAAAGAAGTTTTGAATTGCTATAACAATATTCATCAATCGTGACGCTTCGTAGAGTTGTGGCATGGTGTTGTAGATTTATTAACAATTATCGATCAAAACATAAGATTCAGGGAAATCTAGTTAGTTCTGAATTAAAACAGACTATGTTTGTTATTGTCAAACTTGTTCAAGCTGAGACTTTCTCATGTGAATTACGTTTATTAGAAAAGAATCTTAAGGCCAGTAGTAAATTAACAGCATTGCATCCAATTTTAGACGCTAATGGAATAATGTGAGTCGGAGATAGACTCAAACATTCTAATTTAAGTTACAATTAAAAACATCAAATCAATCAGAGAAACATAATATTACAGACTTAATCATAAAACATGCTCACGATCTACAACTACACGCGGGGTCACAAGCAACTTTGTATCACATTCGACAAAACTACTGGCTCATTAAAAAATCGGGTTAAAAAATTATACGCGAATGCATAACTTGTATTAAAGCAAAACCGAGAATGATGGAATATACAATGGGTGATCTTCCTAAAGATAGATTCGAATGTTCGCGACTGTTTACCAATTCAGGTATAGATTATTTCCTTTTTGGATAAAGGAAAAAAAGCATCGTAATCGCAACAAGGTCAAAGTTTATGTTTCTGTGTTTACATGCTTAGTATAAAGGCAGTTCACTTAGAGTTAGTGAGTGATTTAACAACTGAAGCATTCATAGCTGCATTAAAACGATTCTTCAATAGAAGAGGCAAGTCAAATTTCATATTGTCAGATAATGCCACTAATTTTGTTGGCGCAAGGAATGAACTGCGTGATTTATATGAAATTATATTTGTATGAAATTATAATTCTGAGGTTCATAGGGATGCTGTGATAAGGTGATTGAGTAGACAGGAGGTCGCTTGGAAATTCATTCCACCACAATCTCCTCACTTTGGAGGGATATGGAAGGCTGCCGTCCGGTCTTTCAAACATTCTTATATCGAGTAGCCAAGGACACTCTCTTTACATTCGAGCAATTCAATACACTTTTCATTGAAATCGAGGCAATACTAAATTCCAGGCCGCTAACATCTTTGTCCTTGAATCTAGATGATATGAATTCATTGACTCCAAGTCATTTTTTGATCGGCGGAGTGCTCTCATCGATTCCGATCAGAAATCGATTTTACAAACACTCAAATAAACAGGTTATCTCAATGGCAACACATTCAAAAATTAAGATTTCTGGAATCGCTGGAACAAGGAGTACTTGATTGAATTGACGCAACGCACAAAATGGAAATCAAAGATAATGTAAAGGTAGGAGATTTAGTTATCTTACGAGAAGATAAAACTCCGTCATTGTATTGGCCTCTAGCTCGAGTCATTGAAATATACCTAGGCAAGGATGGGATCATTAGAGTTATAGGTGTAAAAACTGCAACTGGAAGTTATAAGTGTGCGGTAAAAAATGTTGCGCTCTTGCCAATAAACGAACAGTTATGTTGAACTGGATAGTTGAAGGAGGCAGGATGTTCAGACGTTTGAGTTTCGCGCCTAAAATTTATCGTGACGCTAGAGCGTGACGAAAGCTATTCAAAAAGAAAAGAGACGATTGAGCGCGCGCTAGAAGTAAGTAGGAGAATTAAGCTAGTTATTAAGAAGAAGTCATTCTGTAACAAAAAAGGACTGCAATAAATGAGTTTCTTTTATACAAAAAAATAAGAAGGCTATTTAATTTAGTTGGGATCGCACGTACGCAAACAAGAATAGAGAAGGAAAGTGGCGTGCGTGGCAAAACCACAACGAAGGCGTTGTTGGTCTGTACAGATATGTTCTAAAATTCATTGCTAGTATTGAAAATTTATAATTCACGTGATGTATATTATACAGAGTAGGAAAACAAGATCTATACCCCTGAATAATTCGGAAAATATAAGTTTTATAGAAAAATGTCTCAAACAAACATTGTAGAACTTAAAAAGATATATTTATTGATCTTATCAGTTTAATCTTGGGTGATATCGCCAAGGTCACATCGATTTTTTTAAATAGAATATCTTATTTTTTATTTCAGAATCTAATAGCTGATGTCCAAAGATTTTTAAAACACTGTAAAAAAATATTTTTTCATTAAGTACTTTTCGAGTTTTGAGACTTAAAAGTATTTTGATATGAAATACAAAATATCTTGTAAAATATTCAGTTTTCGATAATCTTATTTTAATACTTTTATATACAAAATAATAAAATGAATCAATTGATATAAGAAAAACACAAGTTGCTTTTAAAAAAAACATGCATATAATTTGCAACATAGTGCATATTTTTTTCAAAGCTGTTTGTTTTCTTTACACCAATTGTTTTATCTTGTTATTTTGTGTATTAATACATAAAAGTATTAAGGTAAGATTAAAGTAAGATTATCGAAAACTCAATATTTTACAAAATACTGTAACTTTCAAGCTTCATAACTCGAAAAATACTTAATGAAAAATTATTTTTTACAGTGTTTTAAAAAGTTCTTAACACCAGCTATTAGATTCTGAAATAAAAAATGTGTTCCATTCAAAAAAATCGATGTGACCTTGACTTGACCTTGCCACCTTAGGTCAAACTGATAAGATTAGTACATAGATCTTTTTAAACCCTACAAATTTTGTTTAAATCTTTTTCTGTAAAATTTATATTTTCCGAGTTATTCAAGGGTACTGATCTTTTTTCCCTGTCCTGTATATTAGCAGCATTAGTAGTAAATAATAGGATTATAATATATGTTATGTGAATTATAGATTTTTAATATTAGCAATAAATTTTAGAATATATCCAAATGTATTGGCTGTGTTTCTTAAAAGAAAAGCAGCCATAGTATATAAAATAGTATAAGGTACATAATAAGATTATACCTATTTACTTGATTAATTTCAGTTGTTTGAACATTTTGAAGTTGTGCATATGGATGTTCAACTGAAATACATATGTTAGAATATTATTTAATTAGTAAATATAAAATACTGAATGAATAATAATTCACATACTACTATTAGACATTGGCGATACAAATCCATATGAATGAGATGCGTCTTGTGGCAAAGAACACCCTTGCAAAACAATTTCCTGTATTTCTCTTTCAGACATCTGTTCCTGAGCTAAAAGAAAAATTTTGTATATAAATAAAATAATATAACAAAATAAGAAAATTTTATTATTTACTTCAATTTCTGCAATTTACATTATTTTGGCTGCTTTCCTTTTAGGAAATACAATCGATATATTTTGGGTATGTTTTAAAATTCACTGCTAATGTTAAAAAAAAATTTATGATTTATGTAACGTATATTATATATTATCAACGCTAGCAATAAATTTCGAATATTGATGCTAATTGCTTTCCATTTATAATTTTATTTAAGCTCAATCGATGTTCAAGCTCACTCTTCGATTCTTTTCGAGAGGAGAATCGAATAGTGTTGATTGAATTTGTCAAGTTGCGTCAAGAAATGTGTTCCAAAATTTATTGCTAGAGCTGATAATGTATAATACACGTCATATAAACTACAGCTTTTCAATAGTAGTAGTAGTAGTGAATTTTAGGACACATTCAAATATATCAATTGTATTTTCTAAAAAGTAGCCTTAATTGATTGAAAAGTAGTCTTGATTAATTTGATATTACCTGCATCCTGAACTGTAGCATACAGTTCTGAATGATCTCCTATAGTTTCAGTAGTCTCGTAAATATCCTGAGATACAGAATTTGCCATATCTTCATGTTCTCTGCTCTTATCTTTTGGAATATCTGGAAGACTTCTATTGGCACTTGTAGTTCTATAAAAACAAGATATTTTAATTTTATTTTATATTTATTATATTTATATTTATTATATATAAGATAAGACAAAACAACAAAAACAAATCTGCAAAAGACATATTTCTGATCTGATACTAAGATAATTTTTTCTTTTTATAAAACTTTGTAAAGCTTAACTTATTAACATATATATAAGCCGAATATATGTTCAATATAAGAATAATAATAAAAGAATATAATATTAGCAATACTCGATAATATAAAACTTAGTATAAAAGTAACAAATATTCGGAGACAAACTTCTTAATTATTGACGAGAAATGATTTGAATTGTAGAGCATTTGTAACGCTCCGTTACTACGAGCGTTATGCGACCCACATCGTCCGGGGCCACCCGACATCCCCGAACACGACCGAACGTTACGCACGCGCTAATGATCTGACACGTGCTGACGGCATGACAGATCAGCTGTTTTGTAGAACAGCTTAACAAATAGCGTTTTGATATGCAGACAAAAATCGGGTATATAAACCCGACGAATTCTGCAAGGAATAACCAGTTCCATTCGATCATCCGACCCGTCCGTTTTCAATACACCGATCCGATCTGAAACAACACGAGAGTTTTCTCGTTCTGAATACCGAGTGTTCTCAGTATTCGTTTCGCTCCTATCCGAAAAGTCAGAGTGTTCTCGAACTTTTTTTTTGCGGAATACCGAACGTTCTCAGTATTCTCGAAAAGTCGAAGTGTTCTCGAATTTTTCTTCCAACATACGCGTGTCGCGAAAGCGTCTGTGGTTGATTAGCAATCCATGCGTCCGATCGCTTGGCAACACGTGGGCCCGGTTGTTTAGCAACGCGTCAAGAATATAGTGCCCTTCATATCGTTGTGCTAACGAAACGGAATGTTGTGCTGATTTGTGCTGGACTAGCACAACTCAGATATGCCGTATTATCAACATCGAATAATTACAAACCCGAATTTTTAACATAAAATACGCGAAAGGCCGCTTTCAAGAGTAAAGTGCCCTTAAAATCGTTGTGCTGATGAAACCAAAGGTTGTGCCAACTTGTGCTCGGCTAGCACAACTCAATTCAAGTTGAAAAATTGAATTATCTTTCACGATTGGAAAGTTGTAAGGCTATGAAGTTTTGCATTGGAAAATTGACATTTTGGTTTTTTTTTCTAAAGAAGATACAATTAAAATATTTGCGGCACAATGTAGCACAAACCTAGCACAACTTTTATTTTTTATGTTTTATAAAATAGCAGTGTTGACAAAAAAATTGTTTTTTTTTCTCTAACACTTATTTTTTTTTAATATTCGATTAATTCTTGCGGCACAACGTAGCACAAACCTAGTGCAATTTTTATTTTTATTTTTATTTATATTTTTTATTTTTTACAAAATTGCGGTGCTAACTTCACACACATGAACTATTTATTTATTGCTATTGACTAGTTATCTACGATATCTAATGTAAATATATATAATTTTAGTAGTATTTTTGCG